GGTTAACAAAACATGGGCATAGTGACAATATTTTTATACTACATTTATCTATTTTAAATATACTAACTTCACCCCTTTGTAACAACTAAGGCAAAAATGTAATTAATTCAGAAAATCTTTTCAGGACCCCACCTTGATGTTTCGGGACCCCACTTTGGGTCCCGACCCCAACTTTGGGAAACACTGGTCTAGAGCCCTGTCTGTAAATGCCCAGCATTTGCCCATTTGAAGTGCTGTGTGACTTCCTTTGAGAAGCTCCTGATGTCTGTGATGACAAATGGGTTTGGATGAACATGGTGATCTGCTGTCCAACACTGAAGCTGTCAAAACGATTGCTGAAGTTTACAATGAGCTTCTCAATAAACTCAAAAGAAGACACATCTCTCTCTGTCCTTGAACCTGTTCCTGCACTGCAGGGAAGTGGACACAGTCTTCCTGCGGGTCTTCCTTGAACACCTCAAATTTTCTCTGAAAGGCAAGGACAGCTGTCATCAGTTCACAAACTGAATTATCCTTGCCCTGTAGCCTCAAGTTCAGGTCATTTAAATGTGAGGTAATGTCAACCAAAAAGGCCACGTTGTCCTGCTGTTCCTCATTTTCTAGAAATTTAGAAAACTGTGTTGCCTTCTGACTTTTTAGCTCTGCCAAAAAAGATGCTATTTCCCTCCTAATGGACCAGAAGCATTCTAAAACCCTGCCTTTGCTGAGCTATCTCACATTGTTGTGCAGCAGAAGATCATCAGCATTGGCATCGGCTTCTCTGAGGAATTCCCTCAGCATGCGATGCTGGTAGGAGGAGGATTCTCGAAGAAAATTGATCATTTTCATCATTGTATTCATCACCTCAGCATGCTCACCTAACAGGGAGGCACAGAGAACCGACTGATGAACGATGCAGTGGTAAGTTAGGAGATCAGGATTGTCATTCTKCAGTCTTGTTACAGCTCCCTTTTCTTTCCCTATCATAGCAGGAGCTCCATCTGTGGCGATTGAGATCACTTTTTGGGCTCTATTCCTCTCTTGTCTAACATCCCCTTAATGGCCAGGTAGATGTCTTCTCCTGTTGTACTGGTCTGAAGAGGCGTGACGCCCAGCAGGTCTTCACAGAATGATTTCTGGTCTGCATTATAAAACCTAACATAAGTTAAAAGCTGAGCACTGTCACACACGTCAGTGGACTCATCCACAGCCAAGCTCACACATGGGGCCTTTTTCATGGCTACATCAAGCTGGGCCAACACATCCTGAGTCAAAATTTCACTTTTTTTTGGTGGCAGAGGATGCTGACATGGGGATTTGCTTTATTTTATCACAAAGTTCTTGTTTTTCTTTTCCTTCAAGAAGTGTTTCAGCAACTGCCGTCATGCATTCTTTGACAACCTCTTCATCAGTAAATGGCTTTTTGTGTTGACCCAAAATCCAAGCAACTCTGAGGGAACACTCATGAGCTCAGGATCCTGGTGGACTGCTCATATTGGGCTTTGAGACTGCATATTTTCTCTGACCTTAACTCAGATTTGAGTGGGTATGCTTGCTCAAAACTTTTATGCTTTGTCTCATAATGGCATTTCACWTTTCCACTTTTAATAAGTGCCACAGTTTCTGAACATATCAGACACACAGGTTTAGTACCACCAGTGGGAAGGATAGAGAAATGATTCTGTCCATTCTGGATTAAATGCTGTATGTTCACTGTCCACTTTTCGTTTTTCAGATGCCATTTGTTCTTTTTCTACTTGTGTCCGTTTAACTCACTTGCCTCCGTCGTCCTTTCCTCTGTCTCGCCTGCCTCTATTTCTCCTTTTCTCCACCTGCTTCTCTCTCCTCCTCCCACTACGTGATCCGTTTTCTCCTTCCTTTCCTCTGTCTCGTCTGCTTGTATTTCTCCGCCTGATTCTCTCCTCTCCTCCCGTTTTGTGATCGGATTAATTTTCTCCTTCCTTTTCTGTCTCGTTTGCCTGTATTTCTCCACGTTTGTTTCTACTTCTCCGACTCTGTCTCGCTCCGCTGTATCTCCTGCTGTCACTGTAATGCTGCGTTCCAGTTGTATCGGAACTCGAAATTCTGAAGCCAGACTGACGTCAATTCCGAGCTGATAGCGTTCCAGTTTCAAACATCGGAAAAAGCGTTTCTATTATTTTGCTCTGCAACAATAAAACATACAATAATAGTGCTCTATGATGTATTTTGAGTGTGCAAACAGTGTTAAAACATATATTTTAACTATCACTATGAAGCACGTACATCTGACATAATGTAAAATAAAACAACACAGAACAAAGCCGCATTTGTTTACATGCAAGAGTAGCAACGTTAGCGGTTAGCTCGGACAAGCATGCTAGTATGCTACATATAGTAAACTAATATTAAAAGGGAAAATAAACAAATAAATTACACTCATTTTTATTCTGCCTCCTCTCTTCTTACTTTCTGTCTGTTAAATAATGGGGATGGTGCTTGTGTACGTTTGATTACAGCTCAACATTAGCCGTTAGCTTAGAGAAACATGCGCGCAGCAGCCATGTTGAAATGATGACGTAACGCATGCTCGGGCTGCTCGGGTATGGTTTTGATGCGCCAACCTCCCGACTCGAAACTACGACTTCAGGGGGCGTTCCAGTTGAAAAATAGAACTCGGAGGCTCGAGGCTACGACCTCTGAGGACAAATATTTTACAAATGCTGCCTTCTTGAAATTTGGTATGCTTGTTTGTCTTTGTGTCTATGATGTATAATGATGTGATTGTGATGCTGTATTTCTGAGTGTTTTATGTGCTGCAGAACAATTATGCTGAGTCAGGCTTGATTTTTAGTAATCTTTTCCTGTTAAATCAATAAATCAAATCAAATCAACTGGAACGCAGCATTATTCTTTCAATTTTTTGAAATTTTCTGGGTAATTTTTCTCAAGCTCTCATTCGTCCTCGCTTTGCTTGGTGGTATCACGTGGTATAGCGAAACTCGCAGGTAATTGGTCTGTGGGTTTCCTTTGACATTTGATCACCTACCGTAGCCTACTGTAAAATCTGCGCCAGTAAACCAGAAAGGGATCCGCGTTCAGAACATGAGCGACCACAGCATTAATCACCAAGCAGATTTATTAGCAAGGGAATATTAAAAATGACACGAAACAGCAACTTGTAAAAGTTAATTTCGTTGGGGTTTTTTTATTTTTTCTCTCTGATAATGCAGGGCAGCGGAGGGGCTGTGTGTGTGTGTGCGCGCGCTTGATCTGAAGAAGAGAGTGCGGCTGGAGATTTACTGAGGGCATATTAAAAATGACACAGAATAGCAAATTTGTAGCTGGTTAGTTTATAAATTTTTGAAATACAGGTTCGCAATGAGCATATTTTGTTCGTTTATTTTTTTTATTTCTTATTTTTTTGGATCTACAGATTTTACGGAGGGAATATTAAAAATGACATGAAACAGCAACTTTGTATAATTATTTGAAAAATATTTAACCGCCACAGAATCACTAAAGTGAGCTAATTCAGATGTTTTGTTTGATACGAGGCAGTAGGCATCTTTCCCATAATAAATACGTTGCGGTCCAGTTCAGCTCAGCAAAGCTCCACAACTCTCTGTGCTGCGGGTTCATTATGAACACGTTTATGTGCACGGGACCTGCCCGCCTTCACCCGTGGTCTTATGAATGACCTGGGGAGGCTTAAAGCCAGACTGGTCTGTGCGGCAATTGCGCGGATTTGACTTATGAATGGGGCTGATCATGTATTGCGTTCAGGTCTGCATGAGACCCCCCAGCTCGGTCCGTCCGCCTATTAGTGACCTCTGGTTTAGGGTCTTCATTTTCACCTGGTTGTTGGCTGGAATCCTGTTAGGGATTCTTGTCTGCTTTCAGAAAATCTAGATCAGACCACATTCCAACAGGTTATGGATTTTACAGAAAAGGCAGGTTTAGCTTAGCTTATCAAGTCCAAGACCCAACAACAAAAGAAGTTCACTTTACTGGTAACTCGACAGTCCCTTTGTAATTCCAACAACTCACAGAAGGTGGAACAACACACAGGAACACAAGCAAATGCCAGGGAGACAGAGAAGTGGGTGAATAATTTATCTGACAGAGAACTCACCCAGCCAGAAACCGAAATCCTGTCCAGAGGACTGAACTTAGCGGTGGCACCAAGAAGAATTCCTGTGGTTGAGATGATCACAGCCACAGAATCAGCCATACACAACAACAAAATCCCAGAATTTGAAGCAAAACAACTTAGGAA